TCTAGCTGGCAGAGATGACATCTTTCTCATCTCTGCATTCCTATAATATTTTCTGTCTTCAAGAAATATGATTTTGGGAGTGGATGGGGGGCTGACGATGTCTTAGTGGCTAAGAGCACTTGCTACTCTCCCAGAGGACCTGAGTTTAGTTCTTAGCACCCATAATCAGAGAGCTGACAACTGTCTGTAACTGTAGCTCCAGGGGCTCCTATACCTCTGGCCTCCAAAGGGACCTGTGCACATGCACACATATCTACGTGCACACATGTGTGCAAACATACACACCTATACATAGTTTAAACAAATAATAGAGATAAACATAAAAGAAAGAAAGAAAGAAAGAAAGAAAGAAAGAAAGAAAGAAAGAAAGAAATTATGTCTGGCATGGGGCACCTGCCTTTTATACCAATACTTGGGAGGCAGAGGCAGGTAGCTTTCTGTGAGTTTCAGGCCAGCCTGGCTTACGTATCAAGTTCCAGTACAGCCAGAGCTACACGATAGATGATGTCTCAAAGGATCAATAATAATAATTTCCCTCTAACTTAGATGGCCAGTCATCAGAAGACTAGATTTATTCCCTAACAATAGTTCTTTTGTACCTCGCATAAACCATAGCAGAATGCTATAAACATACATAAGCACAGTGTGTGGTACAGTGTTGATCTAGCACTCAGGAGGCTGGCGCAGTGGGACAGAGCCTCCAAACAATACAGGATATCACCATTGCTGCTGGTTACTCACTAGAACTTGACGGTAAGACCTACTTGCTGAAGGTGTTGCATGCTTAGATCATAGGACGTGGAGAAACCAAGCTGGTAGTGATCCGTAAGAGCTTTTCCTATTGGCTCGTATTTAGAGTGCTGGAAAGTGCTACAAAGCCTTCTGGGAGACAAAAAATCATTAGCAGTCTTACCCAGCTGTGGGCCCTACAAACGACAATAATGAACAGCCAGGTAGGGTATGCCCATCAGTGCTACAGTGACCTGAATGTTATAGGTATAATCAACAGCTTTCTGATTGTAGTTAAGACCTGCTGCACAGGATGATGGAACTTGTGCCTGATAGTGAAAACCTGACCAAGAACCCATGGCTGGGGAGGTCATAGACCTTGGTCAAGCTGCCTTCCAAACATGTATCTTCATACCCATAGCAACGTTTGTGCAAATCTCAGATCCCAGCAGAGGATCTTCCTTTTGCAGTGAATGATGGTTAATACAGACTCTCAATTCATCAAAGTGCAAGAAATAAGTGAAGGTGAAACGCTCAGCCTTAAATCCCTCATCTGTACCACAGCCTCCTCCCTGCAAGGCTCAGGGAACATCAAGGAAGACGTGTGGGTATATTATAAGAGCCAGAGGCCAGGGAGGACTGTTGTAAAACATAGTCGTCTACATGGGACAGGGCCGTTGCTCTCAGGAACTCACAGCAGCTATGGTTGCCTACACAAAAGCAAGTCAGCCAAACTTCCAGCATGGACAGAGAAGAGAGTTACAAAGACCCATCCCTTACTGAAGAGCTACTGGCAGTTGCTGGTTGCTGAGGGAGAGTCACTTCTCTTTGGGGGTACAGCCCCTGGTAGGGTACCCACACTCTTAATTGTCCCTAAACTCATGCATGAACAGCACTAATTGGACTCAATAGTTGGGTTTTTTTTTTATTTTTTATTTTTGACATGTTGGTATAGGAGCAAGGCAAGTGCAGTCTGGGGGGAGTTGGAGGGGGAGATAGGGGTAAGAATGGTCTGAATACATTGTATGAAATTTAGAGGACTAAGTTAGCCAAAGCCAGACTGACTCCATGACATGTTGCAAACTGACAGTTTGGGAGACTAGACCTCAGTTTCTATTTCCCAGAAATAAGAACCCAGATCCAGGAACCTGTGGTCAGCCACAGCTGCAGGCAGCCAACCCGAGGACACCTTGTCATCTGGCCAAAAGTAAGAATAGGTAGCTAAAGTGAGTAAGCAACCCCCTTGGAAGTCTCCAGAGCCCTAACCAATTGTAGAATCGGCCAGACCCCTAGAGACAGAGCTAACTAACCAAGGTAAAAGGGCACATACTCCTCCCTAAAATTCCCCTGACAATACAAGCTGCGAGTCTACAGGAGGTCTCCATTCCCAAATGGGGAGACCCCTGCATGCAGAAAATTCAGCTAAAGAAACTTTTTGCTTTTACATACTATTTATGTCTGGGGTATCATTCTTCATCGATTCTTGGACTCTAACAAAATCTTCAAAGAATAAATTAAAACATCTTTTAAAACATTGTCATAGCATTACCACTGGAAGCTTTGTGGAGGTGAATCTCCTCAGACAGTGGCTGAGTTTAGAGGAGACTCTGGGTTGGTGGCACAGGGATGTAGATTTGTCATCAGGTCTGTGTCGGGAGTGAATGAGGCTCAAAGATGACAAGTGAATTAATGTGGCACCTAGGAAAGGTATAGACAGCTACCCATCTGCATACCATTTGACAACTAAAATCATCTTATAGAGGATGAGACAAGAGCCAGGAAGGGAACTCTTCCCTCTGTAACGTGCTTTAAAGTTTGGCGTCTTGTGTGCACACGTGAGTCGTAAGCGGATGGAAGGACTAGAGAGTGGGGACCTGTGGGATGGAAAGAGCCATAAAAAGCTCCAACTGCAGCCTGGAGGGACTAGGGGTGAAGGGGCATGACTGAAATTGGCATCCTAGACTTTGTGGGCTGACGCCCTCAAAGCACAGATTCAATCAGCCAGGCCAGGGCACTGTCCTGCCGCCTGAAGAACAGCCACTTGCCTCTGTGTGTCTGAATTTGTCATTTGTCTGAATTGTGCACAATCCTCAGGGCAGGTCCTCTAAGCAGAGACTTCGGTAATGAGACCTTAGGACTGTCCCCATGCAAACTAGTTATGAAATGAATGGGGCAAGAGGCAAGGGGAAGCAGCATCAGCAGCTTTCCCAGAGAGACAGCCGGAGGGCACTGGGTGTGGGATGTAGTACAAGATGGGAAGTTGGCAGTGGTGGAAATGTAGTCACAGACAAGAGCATGATAGTCTCATGTCCTATGACACATTGACTGGGTTATAGACTGTGAGAAACACGAAGCTGTTGCAAAGGGTTAAACAGAGAATTTATTATTTTTTTTAATTTTTAATGTGTACAAGTATTTTGCTGTCATGAATGTATGTATGTATATATCTCACCTGCATGCCTCATGCCCACAGAGTCCAGAAGAGTGTATCAGATCCCCTGGAACTGGAGTTACAGGTGGTTGTGAGCCACCATATGAGTGCTGAGAACTGAACTGAGTCCTCTGGGAGAGCAGCCAGTCCTTGTAACCACTGAGCCATCTCTCCTGTCCTGTGGGAACTAATTTCCTTTTTGGTAGTTGAATGAAAGATAACAGAGATTTAGTGGAGTTGAGTGTGTGAAGTCCAGGTAAGAGGAGAGGCTGAGCTGGGAAAGAAGTATGCAAGGAAGGGACTAATTTGGGGAGAGTTTTAAATAAGATTCTGAGGGCTGCATCACTTAGGGATTCATTACATACTGAGCAGTCACCACTGGTCAGGCATTGGGCAGAGGCCTGAGATTTACATGGTAATGAGTCCACTATGAGGAATAATGTACTAACTTCATGAGCAGATGAAGCAGAAACCTGGAAGACTCAGTGATGACACCTGACATATAAAGCCAAGACCCAAGCTTTGACTTTTACCATCATGCCTTGTGGTTGATGGTTAGGAAGATGGAGGAGCCTAGCACAGAAAACTGAGGAAGCAGACACACAGCCATAATGGTTAGTGCTAATGTCAACTTAGTAGAACCTAGAATCCTGGGAGATAAGCACCATCCTGAAGACAATAATGGAGGTGGCAAAACCCAGCCGCTGTTTCCTGGCTGGAACCCCGGACTGTATGCATGGAGAAAAGGAGCTGGACAGCAGCATGTGTTCATTCATGTTTGCTTCCTGACTGCAGAGTCAGTGTGACCAGCTGCTTCAGGATCCTGATGGCTTGACTTGCCCACCCCCTGGGCTCTCCTTGATATGTGAACCAGAATAAACCAGAAGTTGCTCTCCTCAAAGCTTTTTAGCACAGCAACAGGGAAATAAAGACAAAGACACAAGAGAATTGAATCTGAGGAGAATAGATTTAATTTTGGGTTCTAGTTTGTGCAACCAGAAAGAATGAGTCCAGAGGAGGCTGTAAATGAAAGACCACAGAGAGAATACCAATATGTCTCTTGAGACCAACTCCTCCTTCTGGTGAGCTCCACAGTGAATCCCAGAGCACCTGGGGGTCTGCCTTCTGACTCCTGCTTCTGCTGCTGAAGGTGAAAGGTTCTCCTAAGAGCATCCCAGGGGGCTGGGCAGGGTGATATATAGCTCTGTTTTCGGCACTCAAGAGGCTGAAGACAGGCTGATAAGCAATTTGAGGCCAGCCTGGCATACACAGTAAGAGCCTGTCACAAATAAAGCCCCAAAATGTGTAAATGTGGAGAATCACCACAGGGAGACAAGGCCGAAAGGCCTGTGGGGTCAAAGGTTAGAGCTGGCAAGTTCCTTGAAACTAGCTTGTTGACTTGGATGAAGATCCAGATATTTGATAAAAAGCTGAGTAACTTAGCCCTTTCCTCAGCAGGAAAAACTACCAGTCACCAGCCAATACCAAGAATCTGATCAAGCCAGGTGGTTCACATTCTCTCAAAAGCCAGAACCAGGTTGTTGGGGCTTCAGAGGCAGCAAGCAGAGATTTCTAGCAGTGCTCTGAACTGACAGGCCCTGAGTCAAGGGTGCAAGGTGTTGGCACATTCAGCTGGGCATTGGTGATGAAGACTGTGGGAAGTCCTAGAGGTTCTTTGTTCTCAGCCTGCCACTTTGGTGCAAGGTGCTGATGCACATGGCCCTGGGGCTTGTAAGTGGGGTGAGACTTAGGTGAACCCTTGATCAAAGGTAAACACTTTGTTCTTTATATAAAAGATGGTTCTTTCCTTCCCACTTTGCTAAAAGCAGGACCAGTGAGCCAGAGCAAACATCAAAGAAGGCCCAGGAACTTAGGGATTTCTAGCCAGGAGGTTGGATCTAAGTGTCCTGAGGATACCAGCATGGAGACCAAATAGTGATGTCTCTTTCCTCCTACCCATCTAACCCTGTTAGCATAGTGCTCCTCACACCCAGGGGACACTCCCTCCTTCTAGACTGTCTTTACCCAGAAACCTTTTCAGTCTCAACCCACCTCTAGGCTGTAAGTGGCCTTAGGCAAGACACATCCCTGCCTCCCACTCCCCTCCACTGTCTTCAGTTTCTTCCTGCAGAGTTATTAGAGACTACCAAGGCAGCCTGTTCTCCATTCCTTCTGTAACTACCATAAGGAGCGCCGGGAAACAGAGAGCATTCAGAAGCATCTTTCCCCAAGGACCAGCTGGACCTCTGAATCTGTGCTGCACAGCCCAAGGACTGGGTGAGACAGAGTCTCGGTGGTGAAGCACAGGAGGAGGGTTGGCTGTAGATGGCTGGTCTGAGGGGTGGCCTTGAGCAAGTGCTTTGCAATTTTAGAGTGTCAGAATTTGTAAGGTACTGAGCAGTTCTTAGACGTTAGGGGATTCACATAGGGAAAACTGGAGAATACTGGAGACTCTGGGAAGGGTGGACAGTCTCTTTAGCCCAATATACCTCTAATTACTTTAACTCTGCCAGCAGAAGGCATGACACCAGACATGGCCTGGCTCCTTGTCCTCCAGCTTGTCTTACGGCCAACTCTGGTGATAGGCATCACGATGCAGACAGCCATCAAGAACTTCCGAACCTTACACGTTGACTACCCCATGGTTAACTACCCGAAGGGTTTCCAAGGATACTGTAATGGCCTCATGGCCTACGTGAGAGGCAAACTGCAGGAATGGTACTGCCCTAAGATCCACTATGTGATCCATGCCCCCTTGGAAAGCATCCAGAAGCTCTGCAAATACAGCGAGAGCTTCTGTGAAAACTACAATGAGTACTGCACTCTCACTCGGAACTCCTTCCCCCTCACAATCTGCACCCTGGGCCATAAACAGGCTCCAACCAGCTGTAGCTACAATAGTACCCTGACCAACCAAAGGCTCTACTTGCTCTGCTCCCGCAAGCATGATGCTGAGCCAATAGCTATCATCGGCCTCTACTAGGGACTTAGTTCCCAAACCAGTCTCGCCTACTACAGGCCTCTACATGCCACACCAAGGCCCATTCCCAAACTCTGAGTCTGTCTGCAAGTCTTCCTCCCTGACATCTGAAGCCGAGCCCTGCCCTCCTTCAGGCTCTTTTGCCTTCTCATCACCCCCACCATGAGCCTTCCTCTCCCAGCAACAGTAAAACCCACCCAAGAAGCAGACTATGTCCAGCTGGCAGTGCTTGTGTATCTGCTGGGCCAGATCCTGACTCCTGGAGGGAGGCCCAGGCCCCAGCTCACACCATGGCAACAGGCACCCAGCTCCAGTATCTCTCCCTAGGCCTGTTTTTAGTGTCAGTCAGTCCTCCACCCCCACCACTCCTCCTGCAACCCCAAGTTCCCTTCTAATTCCTGCCACACTCCGGCAATCAGAACTTCCCTATGATCCTCTGGCCCATTTGCTTCCCTTCCCCAGAGCCCACAATAATCTGTGATTTCCCCTTTCCCTTCATATAACACATCCTTCCCCACCTCCTCCCTCCATGGAGCCTAGTGCTGTTTTCCCAGACTCTCCCAACCACCGTTAGCCATGCTGTCTGCCTGTTCCCAACTGCTGTCTTCTCTCTCTCATCTTGACCCACCAGAATTTCAGATTATCTTTCCTGTCCTACCCAAGGTCCCTCTGTCCCCCTGTCTCTCCTTATCTCTGTTTCACTCAGATGGCAGGGGAAGAGGCAGTCCCAACCCCAGTCATGTAAGGTGTAAAAACCTCTAGGGGAGACTGGGCAGGGGGCCATGAGTCCCTTTCTAGATTGACTTCTTGTGAATCTGTAATCATTCAAAAATAAATAGTTAAAAACACATTCAAACTCAACTGTGATTGAATTCCCTTTCCTGCTTTGGGTGTCCTGGTGACCACCTGCCTTGATCCTCTTGCCCTGTAGGCATGAGGGTGGAGGTGGGGTGGGTGACAGACTTTAATGGCAGCGCCTAGGAGGCAGAGCCACACTGATCTCTGGGAGTTCAAGGCCAGCCTGATCTAGAGTTCCAGGCCAGCCAGGACTGCACAGTGAAACCTCTGTCTCAAAAATCAACCAACCAAAAAGATTCTATCTTTCCCCAGCCTGAAAACAAATTTGTAGTAGGTGTCAGGCTCCCTTCCTGGCTTCTATTTATCTCCCAAGAAAACCTGGATTCTAACAGACGGAGGAAGTTGGGAGACACATTCATTCAAGATCATGATGATTATCTGGGTCATGGTATGTCAAGTCCAGAACTGTGACTCCCTTTGGGGAGACAGAAAGGAAGGAACCACTCCTATGTGAACACAGTAAGTAAATGTTTTTTCTTCTGCATCTGATTTAACTCTTACCTCCAAATGTATTCTCCAGTCCTGGTTTCAGGAGCAGTTGCCAAGGAGACTACTACCCTATGGCTGGTATGCATGAGGCTTAGCAGGGTAAAGGGTCCATGACTGAAACCCTGACTGCTTGGGCATTCTCTTCTCCCTTTATCTGTGGGCCAATCTGTGCCTCCTACTCACGAGATGGAACTCACTGGATGCTGCACACACATTGTTTATTAGTTCCTAGATCTTTTTCCTGGTGTTAAAAACACCAGGTCAGGAAACTAGCAGGCAAAGAGGGCTGCACTCTACTGGCTTTTCTTGTCATAGGTGCCAGCCCCCTTGTAGCCACTCACATAGCCTGAGTTGTCAGTGGTCTCTTCCCGTCCTTCGATACCTTTTCCCTTGCCACTCTCATCAAAGCGCTCCTTGTGGGTTCCAGTGTACTTACTGGTGTCTGTCAACCGGTCTACTCCTCCCACTGTGGTCGCTTTCTGCAAGCCAGAGGGTGAGTTTGAAGCCCTCCTTTCTAGGCCCTCACAGCCCTTCCCCACAGATGGTCTTAGAGGCTTAGAACATATGCTGAGAGGGGATTGCTTTGCCTCTGGCACAATGCTGCCTCCTGAGGCCCAGACACAACTGTGGAAAAGGACAGTGCAGTTTCCCGTATCCAGAGAAATCATTTCTGATCAGGATACTGGCAGAGGGCTTCAGTCCCAAGCTGCATCCACAATGCCCAGAGTTGAGAACACTGTTTCTACAGAAGAAACACTTTAAGAAGGAGAGGGGTGAGAAGCAGGAGGTCTGAGATTAAACCTTAATATATGTAGGAGGAAGACTGGGGAAGCAGGCACCAAGTCCTCCGATGTTAGTGTCTAAAGACACAGAAGGCTGAGGTGTCTGGGCCACGAGACTTGAGAATGAGTCAAAATTCTACTAGTGAAACAGCTATTCTGCTGGAGAGATGGCTCAGAGGTTAAGAGCACTGACTGCTCTTCCAGAGGTCCTGAGTTCAAGTCACAGCAACTACATGGTGGCTCACAACCATCTGTAATGGGATCTGATGCCCTCCTTCTGGTGTGTCTGAAGACATCGACAGTGTATTCATATAAATTAAAAAAAAAAAAAAACAAGAAATAGCCATTCTGTGGCTAAGGAGGTAGGTAGCTGGGAGCTCCACTGCCCTGGGAACAAATGTCTCTCTCCAGGCCACAGATCTCTCACCTCTGGTACAACTACAACTACAACTACAACTACAAGGGCTCTAAAGTCTTCCAGAACAGGCAGTGTACCACAGGCTATCCACTCTGTCTCTTGAGTTACACTACTAACAAAATTTGGGGCATAGAAACAGAGAGGGGCCTAGAGCAGAAGAGTCTAGGGAAGTAGTAGGGTTCTGAGCTTGAGATGAACATTATCATTGAAGTCAGTGTGGTGGCTGGCACACACCTAGAATCCCAGCACTTGGGAGGCAGAAGTATGAAGACCTTCAGTTCAAAACCAGCCAGGGTCACACAACCAGTTTCAGGCTAGTCTCACAGAGTAAGGGCCTGCTAGATAGAAAGACAGACAGACAGACAGACAGACAGACAGACAGGAAGAAAGGACGGAAGGGCAAACATCAAAAGGAAGAAAGGAAAAGATCAGACAAAAAGTCACTACTCACAGTAGCACCAGTGGTGGCAGGGTCCTTGCCTTCCATGAGTTTAAAAACATCTTCCAAAGCCTCATCTGGGTTCTTCCCCTTGAAGCGCTTTTGGCCCAGCTCCTTCATCGCCTCTTGAAACTGTTGAAAGTTGATGGTTCTGGCATTCTTGGCCCTGGCCAGTCAGACAGAAATCCAGTAACTGTGGAGTGTGAAGTCATCACCTCCCAACATCTACCTTTTTCTTAGTCGGGAATGGCCTATTTATCCTGCCAATGAGTGTTGAGACTAGGGACTGGGACAGTTCCCAGCGCTGCCAGATGCTCCTTATAAATCTTCCATCTTAAGAGCTATGCTAGGCGGTGCCAGGCTGGTGGTACCCATCTTTAGTGCCTGTACTCAGGAGACAGGTTGGTGAATCTCTGTGAGTTCTCGGTCAGCCTGGTCTACAGAGTTTCAGGATAGCCAAGGCTACACAGAGAAACTCTGTCTCAACAAAACAAAATAAAACAAAACAAAAACAAAAACAAACAAATGCGCTGTGACCAATTACCTTTTCACTTCAGCCCCCACCTCTGGCCCCTTACTTCACTTTGCTGAACACAATGTCCACATCTGTGGAGGTCACTGCCTTGCCATCCATGATGCCACAGTCTTTACAGAGTTTGGAAAAGTTCTTGTTGGTAATTTCATTGCCACTGCTGGATGATTCTCCAAAGACAGCAAATCGATGGAATGTTCTTTCTGCTTCTGAGGCCATGGTCAATTGCTGGGGGGTTGGGGGGTGAGTGGGGTGGGGGTGGAGTGGGGGAGGGGGAGGGGCAGTAGGGAATGGGGCTGGAGAGTGAGGGAGGATGAGATGATGGAAGGGTAAGGAGCATGGTAAACCACAGCAGCACAGGGATGACTGCTCTCTTCCCTGTTGCTTTCCTGTCTCCTCCACCTTTCCACCCCACCACTGCAGCTCTAGCACGAGCCTTCCCTTCCAGCACTGTCAAGCTTAAACTCTTATGCAGTAGAAATCCCCCTTACCCACCACTTTCCTATACCTGGGAGCCCAGATGGTGTCTGTGCCTTTGTACACAAGTGTGTGCAACTATGTGGGAGTCGGATGACTGGGGAGAAGGTGTGGCAACTGGGAGACAAAAATAGGTGAAGAAAGCAGAAAAGAAACACTGTGATGTCACAGTGTTACATGACATCACTACTGGCTCTGGCTCGGTCTCTCTACTGTCTTATCTTCCAGCATCGGCAGCAGAGATCCATCAGTTTCTCATCTTTGGGGAGTAATCCAGCCACAGCATTGAAATTAGGAAGAACTTCAAGCTGTGTAAAGACTGTGGAATCATGGATAGCAAGACATGACCTTTGAGTTGAGTAAGCTGCCAGTCTGGTGGCATCTTCAGATGATCAAAGACCGCCGCCCCCATCACTTTGTCCTACTTTACCAATCTTATGGCTTCTGGCCTCACGATGACCTCGAATGGTAGAACTCCCTTGGCCTATAAATCTCATTCCTGAAATCTCATTTTTACCTTCACCAAACCTCACTATGACTCACCCAAATCTCTCATCTTAATACTACCATGTTGGGAGGGAGAATTTTAACGTGTACATTTAAGGGAGACCCAACCACTGAAGCGTTTGGGATTGAGGAGGACAGGCTGGCTTGAGTCGGACATTGCCCTCCTGTCTGATCTCCCAGCCCACCAGATCAGACCACCAGATGGAGAATCCCTCTGACCTTGGAAAAACAGTCACAGCAGGAGATTTTAAAAAGCATCTACTGTTGACTCAAGAGGGAAAAGGCAGAGGACCTGCAGTGTAGCAGATCCATATACAGTAGAGTGAAATGTGTCAGAATAAGTCTCAAACTCTGAAAATCCCCAGGAGATGATTCTGAGCAGTTCCAAGTGTCCCTTAATGGTTTCTTTCTGGATAAAAGCCTTCTAAGAGAGATGAGCTTCAGGGGTCGTACATCGGAGATTGATTACGTTCTAGTCTTAGCTATCTAATCAGGTCCTAATTCCTATAAGCAGTGTGCAATTTTATGAATTCATTCCTGGGTGGTGATGGCACACACCTTGACTCCCAGGGCTTAGGAAGCAGAGGCAGGTGGATCTCTGAGTTCAAGGCCAGCCTGGTTTATAGACTTCAGTTTCAAGACGACCAGGGCTACACAGAGAAGCCCTGTCTCCAACAAAAAAACCAACCAACCAACCAACCAAAAAACCCTTTCCATCACTATTCTTGCATCTGTTCAAGTCTTTAACCGATTGATCCATTTTAATGTGTATGGGTGTGTTGCCGGCATCCATGTCTGTGTATCATATGTGGGTCTGCTGCCCATGGAGGCCAGAAAAGTGTCAAGGAAGCATCAGATCCCCCAGGACCAGAGCTACAGTTGAGGAATGGCATGTGGGTGCTGGGAATGGAACCCCCAGGTCCTCTGGAAGAGCACTTAGGCTTTCTAACCACTAAGCTCTCTCTCCAGGCCCAAGTCTTTTGTACCTCATATCTCTAAGATTATCTGGGGCTCTTATCTGAGGCTTCTGAACTGCCATTTTTCTAGGTTCAGTTCTTTATGTCTTTCTATTCCACAGACCAGCTCTGTTAACCTTTCCTCAGTAGTGTAATGCTTCCCAACCAAGATTTTCTGTCCACTGTTCCTGCTGGAGAACAGATTATGGTATCTGACTACAGTGACATATGCCTGCAATCACAGAACTCTGGAGGCCAAGGCAGGAAGATGAGGAGTTCAAGGCCAACCTTAAATATATGACCAGTTTGAGGAATACCCGATATCCTGTCTCATAGAATGACTATGCTATGACTCAAGAATAGTTCGAGCTGGGCAGTGGTGGCATATGCCTTTAATCCCAGCACTTAGGAAGCAGAGACAAGCGGATTTCTGAATTCAAGGCCAGCCTGGTCTACAGAGTGAGTTCCAGGACAGCCAGGGCTATACAGAGAAACCCTGTCTTGAAAAACAAAACAGGGCTGGAGAGATGGCTCAGTGGTTGGGAGAAAAACAAAACAAAACAAAACAAAACAAAACAAAACAAAACAAAACAAAACAAAACAAAACAAAACGAATAGTTGGAACTGGAGAGATGGCTCTGTGGTTAAGAATATATAATGTTGGGCTGGAGAGATGGCTCAGTGGTTAAGAGCACTGACTGCACTTCCAGAGGTCCTGAGTTCAAATCCCAGCAACCACATGGTGGCTCACAACCATCTGTAATGGGATCTGATGCCCTCTTCTGGTGTGTCTGAAAACAGCTACAGTGTATTCATATATAATAAATAAATAAATCTTTAAAAAAAAAAAAGAAAGTGTTTTTTTAAAAAAAAAAAAAAGAATATATAATGTTCTTGCAGTGGACCTGCATCAGCTGACGGCTGCCAGTGATTTCAGGTCCAGAGAGAAGTCTCTGCCTTCGTGGGCATGTCTCTCACATGCATATCCTCATACTCAGACACATAAATAAAAATAAAACATCTTTTCAAAAAAAAAAGTATAATCTGTGGTTCTTACTGCCTAATCTTTTTGCCTACCATTCAAGGACACAAGTTGGACCCAGCCTGTCTCACGGAGTGTCACCCACCTCTCAGTAACATTCCTCTTAGCTGGGGCCCTAATGGCTTAATAGTTGTACGTTCAAAAGGTTACCTGGTAGAAATAGCATGGACCCTGGAGGGGAATAGATCTGATGGGGATTCACATCCTAGATGTGTGATCAGGTGGTGGCCATGGGCAGGTCGTTGATGTTCCCAGGCTTCAGTTTCCACATTTGTATAGTTAGGGACAATGATGGATTGGGGGTCACACATACTTCCTACTCTTCAATTCTTCCCAGGAGCTCTTGCAGTTCTGTTTATACTTTCTCCTCCGCTCTCCGCTGAGATGAACCGTCCCTTCTCTCCTATTAAAATATTCCACTTCTCATCTGGGCGGTTCACCCTGATGAACTCCTTTCCTCTGAATTATAGAAACATATGACTCTTAGCCTGCGGTCTCTAGCCTCGGGGGTGTGTGTGTGTGTGTGCTTCAGAAGTATTGCTAGGGGCCCTGAAGTCCTTCAGTACAAACAAGATTGAGTGTGAGCGCTAAATAATATGCTTTGCAAATGCGTATGCGATGGCTACAGCACTGTAAACATTACTTTTTAAGTATTTCTGAATTTCCAATTTGTGCTTTCTTCATCAGGAGTTATTAAAATCATCCCGGGGAAATGAAAAGCTCTTCTCTCCCACTGGAGAGCCGTGGAGCCTGCTACAAGACTTGTTCTCTATACACTGACCTTATAGGTTGTTTTCCCTAGCCTTTTCTATATTTATATACTTCTTTAATCCCTGGATCACAAGACTGACCAAAACATACCACTTCTTTGAATTTCATCCATCCAGTGGTTTGTACGCTGAATGTGCTTGAAACTGTCACTTAGCTAAAAGCATAGTTTGAAACTGCTTTTGACCCAGAAAGAGTAGGTTAGATATTGTCCATGTTGGGACACTTGTACTTAGGTCAGTCTTGAACCTGTCCAGACAGTGAAAAACAAGAGCCAGTGTGTGTGTGTGTGTGTGTGTGTGTGTGTGTGTGTGTGAACTTAGGAGCTACCTAGAGACCCCCTAGGTCTAGGAAGTAAACAGATCTCAGTGGAAATTTCCCACTTCCAGCCTCCCCAAGCCCCTGTGTCTGCCCCTTATCAGGTTCCCCCTGAGTCATTCTGACCCAGAGACGAATTTAGATGCTGGAACCTTCCAGTCTCTCCCTCCCCCTCTCTAAGTATGTCTACTTTAGACACGTGACAGAAGCCCGCAGGCTGAAGCGCTCAGTCCAGGTTCTCTGGCTGTCCACAAGTCACAGGGGCTGTCAGAGCTTTCTTCTCTTACCCATCTGTAGCTCTGCTTAAATTCCAGCAAACTTCTCATCCAGGAGAGCGTTAAACTTGCGCCCAGGGGCTAGGCAGGAAGCTAGAATGCCAGGTTTCTGTGCCAGTTTCTAGGGCAATTCTTATGAAGGGAGCAGGAGAAAAGAACAGAGGAAAACTTGGGACTGTGTTTGGGAGCTATAGGAAGCTCTTTAGGTCTAGGGTGTTTTTTTTTTTTTTTTTTTTAAAGCTGCGTTTGAGCCTTCTCAGGTTTTCTCCTCCTCCTCCTCCCTCTTGGCCTCTCCTCCTTTCCAACAGACCTGCCAAGTGGGGATGAAAGGGGCATTGATGTTCCTTGGGGAGGGGGGTTGTGGGTGGTGAGGGTAGTTCCCAGGCAGGGGGAGGGCAATCTGGGGGTCTTGGGGGGAGCAGTCTGCTCTGGTGTTGCAGTTGGCAGCTCTGGTTCCATTGGACATTGTTTTCAACTGGCCTGGCGCCCAGCCCCCTAAATGGCAAGTCTGGAACTAGGCTGAAGGGGGATGGGGCAGGGTTGATTCTGGGAGCAGGGGTGCGAGAACGAGGGCATGTGGGGAAATACCATCTGGTTGCTTAACACAACTTTCAATCCCTATAGTCCATCAACCAGTCCAATTCAGCAAGCTTTCTTTAAAGAGCACAGGGAGGACGTGTCTCAGATGTGAATCTTGTGGAAGTTTGGGATAGGATGGTAAACCCACCAGGCACCGAGGATCGGCCCGGGAGACAGCAGTTCAGGAGGCATCCGCCTCAGGGCCCTACCACTCAGCTTTTCAGAGCTAATCTCGCCCTCCTTTTCGGGGTTGGACTAGGAGGGGTTAGCTCCTCAGCCACAGGGTCTCTTGGGTCTCAGCCCAGGACATCGAGT